CGCGGACCCCTGCGCGGCCCCTCACGAGCCCGGCGTGTGCGGGTCGGGCCCCGGGCGGCGCGGACTCTGCGGGGGGCGTGCCGCCGCCGCGCCCCGGGAAGCGCCCCGCCGCCCCGCGCCTCAGGGCCCGGCGATGGGGGGGCAGCGAGGGGACCCGCAGGCAGAGGCGTGCCCCGGGGTGACCGAGAGTCACGTCCCCCGCGCGCAGTGTGCGGCGGCCAGCCCTGCGTTTCGGGGTTCCGCCCGGACGCGGGGAGAGCCTCCGACCGCAGCGCCGCGCTCCCAGGCTCGGACGCGAGGTGCGCGGCCCCAGCGCCCGGCGCGCTGCTCCCTCTGTGTACCGCTCGTGTCCGAAAGTCTCCGCGCGGACCCCGTGGGCCCCCCGCCCGCGGAAGGACGGCTGGAAAGTGCTCCGTCGGTGCCTTCGTGTCGCCCTTTGTCCCCGGGGACTTCAGTGAGCTGGAGCGGGACGCGGCCGGCCGAGCCCAGGACAGAGGTACCGCCGGGAGCTCGGCCAGCGGCTCCCGCCCGCGGCCACGGCGGCGCCGCGCTCCCAAGGGAACGTGTCCCCCGGCGCGGGCAGCTCGGCCTCGGGCCGTGTCTCTGTAGCGGCTGCTCCGGGGCATTCCGGGGGAAATACACGCGTGTTGTGCGGGCTGCTCGCCGCCCGGAAGGTGCGTGACTCGGGTGCTGCGTGACTCGGTGCTGGCGTGCAGCCCGGGGCCCTGACACACAGGGAACGCTTGCGGGTGTGTCAGAACCCCGGGCAGGCCTGAGGAGAAACCATACTTCCAACTCTTTCTGGGTTCAAATCTCAAATTTCCAGAGCTTCATGCTTGTATTAATGCACATATCAGAATAAGGAAACCCATGAGAGGAAAGAGATGTAGAACAAGCTTTTTTTGTAAAATCTGTTTTTTGTGTGTGTGTGAAGAGTTGGACAGTTCACACTGAATTTCAATCACTTAAAACATTTCCCGGTACCTTGCCCGTACCCATCAGCGTCATTACCACTTACACGTTGATGACGAAGAAAGAACTGCCCTCTCAATCCTGAGACTCCTTGTCCAAGTTTTTATGTGCTCATTACTCAAGTAATACTGATTGGACACTTTAATTCACAGGAGATTTCCGGAGTACACCAGGAGAGTACAGGCTTTTGATTGGTTTTCAAAACGCAAAAGATCGCCTTTATTGGACACCGCCTGGGTTGTCGCTTATTCACATAAGCACGTTTTCCAAGTAGCTGACCCCTCACACCATTAATTACTGAAACTTAAAACAAATTAGCTGTTAAAACAGATAAGGCATTTCTAAACCTCACGCTCTGCTTGCTTGTTCCCCGGACATAAGTGAGTGTTTTGTTGGGCCGCCCTGACGAACATGAATTCGTAGATCACTGAATCGTGCTCTTCGCTGAGGTGTATAGAGCTGCTTTGTCTGTAGCAAATGGTCGGAGCCCACTGGGTGAAACTCTAGAATGGAGACAGAGCCGCTAGCCTTCTTTTATGGTTTTTCTGGGTCCTCTTTCTGTTACCAGCTATCACCTTCTGCTGTGGGCAGGCTGCGAGCGGCTCTGCTGCTCTGTTACCTGTGGGCTTCTTTCTGTGAAATGCTGTGGGCTGTTGCCCGTGTGAAGAGCTGTGGACTGTGTGACAGATGCTGCTGTCTTCATGCTTTATCTCTGGGCTGGGTCGTGAGCCAAAGGGCTGAGGGTCCAGAAGGGTGGCCTCTATAGAAGTGGTTTTAAGCCGTTTTTTGTTTTGCTTTTAAATTTTGTGTGTGAGCTCTTTAGAAGGGTGTCTTATTTTCAGGCAGTTCAATCTTCCGGAAAAGTCTTTGCTTTCCTGGGAAATTGAAGCGCCCTGAAAAGTGTTCCTTTTCCCTTGGCAGGCCCGGACTCTGGGAACGTGGGGGCTGTGGTAGCCACAGCACTGCTGCCCCTGGCAGCCACGAGCTGTTCGTGATGCTGGTAGCAGGAGCCGGTGTGATCTGATAGTCCTGCCGACCTCACTCAAGGTGAGAGCAGTCATTTCAGCACTGCTTCCATCCGGCCTATGGAGGAGCTGCACGACCAGATCAGTTTGAATAAAGTCATTTAATTCAGTCTCTAGACACTGGCAGCCGTAGCTTCCTAACCTGAAGCATTTGACAAACATGCTTTCATTCAGCAAACACTGATTGAAAGCCCACTGTGTGTTGGGCGCCGGGCCCCCGTGCTCGGGTGTGCAGACCCGGAAGGGCTCTGGGGAGATGGAGCTGAGAGCTGCGCAGACCCACAGGCTTCCTGGAGAGGGTGACACGGAAGACAGTCGTGGACTGGCTCTTTGCCGTCCCAGGGCCTGTGCCTCGTCTTCTGTAGGTCGTTTTAAAACAGGTGTGATGCAGTGGGTGGACACCCCTCCCGGCGGTCCAGATCCAGGCTAGCTCTGAGGGGGGTGAGTTGGGCCCAGCAGGCTGGTCCCGAGAGGGTGAGGACCTCACCCAGAGTGCTAGCAGGGAGGTGGTCACGGGGTTTGGTCACAGACTAGGACTAGGTGACCATGCGTGTGGCTGGCATAGGAGCATGGGACAGGCCCTACAGGAACTGCAGATGACACTGCAGTTCTGGACTTGGGAGTATGAAGTGTTACAGGAAGTCATCAGGAGACGAGTGCCAGACGGATCACCGCACAGAGCAGAGGGGTCAGGCTAGACGGGTGGGTGGGTGGACAGCTGGACGGATTTAGCCATTCTCAGCGGACAGGTGACTGTAAAGGAAGGAAGTCGATCGGGCCTCCGGGGCAGGCACAAAGAGGAAGAGGACCAAAGGCGGGGGCGCGCCGGACAGCCCTGTGCAGCCCTGGAGGGAGGCGCGTGTCGGGAAGTGACAGGCGAAGCGCTCAGGTGAGGGCATCAGGCTGTCCTGGGTCTGCCTCTGATGAGCCTGTGACCTTGAACTCAGAACTTGGTTCCCTCCTCTTCTACACGCTGAGGAGCAAAGCGCCTACCTGAGGGGCTGCTGGGAGGACCACGCCGTGTCCCGCTCGGTGCTGGAAGGCCACTGGTCCGTGGCCCTACATGCCCGCTGCTTCCGTGAGAAGCGGCGCTTAGATTTGGGATTGGGATGTTTGAAGAGAAGCTCACTTCAGCAATGCTTGATCTCAGGATTTGGGGACAGTGATTAAAAGATGCATTTAGGATGAGCATGTGATCTTACCCATAGCCTTTGGGGAAGAAGCCAGTAGGATGGGACAGCCGAAGGTTTTGAAGGGGGCAGAGCGGCTGTGGGAACAGTCCTGGAGGAGAGAGAGGGCGGGTGATGCCTCGGGGGCTCAGAGAGAGGTCCACTTCCTCAGGACAGGCCACCTGCCACCAGCCCCGAGGGGTCAGTTGCACATACATTGTTTATTTAACGCGTCTGGTAATCAAATCATAGACATTTTAAACGTCTTGCTGAAAGTATTTTTGGCATTGTGAGTTCTTTGAGTCGTTTCTTGGATAGTTTAATGAGGACAAAGAGTATTCACTTTAAAAGAATCTGAAAACAAAAACAAAACAACAAGATAGATATTAAAACTGAACAAAATAGAATTTGATATTTGATGATTCAGGAGGTACTTCCTCATCTTATGGGGTCTCAGAAATCAACTAAGGAAAGCAGTTATTAACCTGTGTAGACGGGGAAGAGTGACGTTTACATGTTTCTCTTAGCTGAGTCCACCATAGCAACATTTAAAAACTCTCCTCCTTTCCTCCTTAGGATTTTCTCTATCTGAATGAAGTCATGCTTCATTTTAGGGATAAACATCTAAATTTAGTGCTCCATTTTTATATGCGTATGAATTTTTGACTAATTGGTGGATGTTTGAGAAAATGTTTATGTGTAAACGGTTTGGAAAGCAGCCAACGATTGCACACTGTATGGCGCTGACTGCGTGGCTGGCTGTAAGGAGCATTGGTGATTAATGGATTACACTAATGTCTGTTATTCTTTTAGTTTAAATTAGTTTGCCTGTTTCAGTCATGCTTACCATTGTTTGCATAGCATTTAGAGAACTGCATCGTTTTGAGGACACCCAATAGTGTTTTTTGAGTAAAAGGGGATGAGATGTGGTTTTAAGGTAAACTGAAGACATTATGCATGTAGGTTTCAACCCTGAATGCTGTTCTTCACCAGAAGTTCTGTAGCCTGGCTCCTGGAGTCCGGACCGCTCTGGGAGGAGTTGCCTGGCGCCTTTTGCCCCTGGCCGACTCCCTCGCGGGGTGGGCACTGGGCTGTGCGGGACATTTCAGGGTCGGACTTCGTGCGGGTCCAGGCTGTGTGTCTACAGATCCAGTCCTACAGAGGTGACACTAGATGCGAGTGTCTTCTTTAGGGCAGCCTTCGGGCGTGCATACCCCGACCCAGACGGGCCTTCTGAGCTCCTGGGCGGAGGGCGCCCGGAAGGCTGGGCCAGCACCTGCCCTGTGGCCGGAAGTGTGTAAGGAGTAAAGCAGAAAGCACGTGTGGTCAGCAGCTCTTCAGAGACTGTGCGTTTTGCCCAAAGCTTTGTGCTGCTTACCTGAATTGTTAGTACCTGAAATAATCCCTTTGTTGGTTTTACTCGGAGGTGGTAGCATCGGTTTTCCTGGCCTTAGATACAGAAACGGGTCTGCAGGCATTCCCGGTCACTGAATAAAGTTACATCATCACCGGTTTGATAAACATTTGCTTGATTTGGAAGTGTTATTATACAAAATATGGTAAAATTAATTATTTTGCACTTTTCAGTTACATTCAGAAGAAATTTAATACTTGAAATATTTTCGAGACACCAAGTCCTAATTTTTTAGCTGTTACATTGGCTGTGACTTGCTTTAAAAAGTAATAACCGTGGTGCTGGTCTTCCTCTAGGTTTTAGTTTAAATAATATGTTCCCATGAATTTAAAAAAGTAAAAAAAAAAAAAAAAAGAAAAGAATAGAAAAGAAAGTTGAATTAAGTGTACTATAACATATTCTGGAAAAATTGTATAAAAATTCAGTTTTTGTAAATTGAATCATATTTTAGATTCATATTTAAATTTTGAAAACACCCGAAGAGAAAAAGGGCAAAATGTTAACACTTTATAAATACAGTTCATGGGGACACAGATACCTGTTGTGTTAATATTTATACGTCTGTGTGTAGTATATATTTTACAATGAAACGTGGACATATTTTATTGAAATATTTTACGGTGAAACATGTGGACAGTTATTGTCTAGCATATCATATTTTAAGGGCACCCAGAGAGTTGGCTGCTGAAAGCAATATTAGAGTAAATCTTCCTGTGAAAAGAATCCTGCTTTGATTAATCTGGTTTGCAAATTCTGATTTCCCTAGTCTGTTTAACAGACACACAAGCAGCCACCTCCAGGCTTGGGCACGCTTGGAATGCAGTGGCGCCCACCAGAATTTCCCAAACCCCGCCGTGACAATAAAGGCTTCATCTGATGCTCTCTCTCTCTTGTCGCTTATTCTGCCGAGAAGGCGCGGGCAGGAAGCACACCCCACCAGCAGTGGCCGAGCCGCTGGGGGCTGTGGGCTGCCTGCCCTCCTGCCCCAGGACCCGGTCAGGCCCCAGCCCTTCCTGGGTCCTGCCCGGGAAGCGGGTGCTTTCCATAGGTTTGCATCCTTCCCCCGCCGGCCCAGCTGTGCACACAGCCAGGGACATGGCTTGGAGAACTCGTCAGACGGGTTTGCCTGTCCCTTTAAAAGGAGCTTGTGGATAAGGTCAAGGGTGAAACTATTTTAGGGAATACTGATGCTAATCACGGACTGTTTTCTCCCGGTTTTGAAAATACTTCCTGGCACTTGTGAGAATGTATGTTGATGGGATAAAGTGAGAGTGAGGGAAACTGGCAGGAGAACTAAGAAATCGGGATGAGAACCAGGGGACGAGAACCGCCAGAAACAACAGTGGGAGAAAAACCAAGAGGAAAGGATCCGCTCTGTGTCCCAGTGGGCGTCCCGGGGGGCCAGCTGTACCCCACCCAGCAGGAAACGGCGGCGTGAAGCTGAAAATGCGGTTAATAAAACACAGACGCCTGTGGCCTTCAGCCTGCAAACTACAGGCCACCCTCCAGTCTGGCCGTGCTTTGCTGGGGACGTCCCTGGAAAATGCTGTGGTTGCATTGCACTCTGGCTTTAAATTCTCAGTTTCCCTACGGAACGGTGCAGTGTCACACTCAGCTTTAGCAGTTCCTAGCTCTCTTACTCGGACAGTCTGTCCTTTTGTCCTCATTCTGTCCTGAGCGCTGTCTGGTGTGTGGTCACGTGTCCCCACAGGACCGGGGGTCCAGGGCTCTTCTGCCAGCTCCAGAGGTCACCAGGACGCCTGAGGGATTTGGGACAGACCGCAGGTGCTGCTAGCACAGCGCGGGGACCAGAGCTGTCCGCCCGCTGAAGCATGACCGTGGCCGTGACCTTGACAGGCCCTCTGGTTCCCGCCACGCTCTCCTTCTCCCGCTGTGGCCCCCTGGCTGCCCTTCCTGGCATTCTTGTCCCCAAAGCTCTGCTCTCCTGTCTTTGTTCTGTCTCCTGGTTACTCGTGCTCATGGGTTGGATTTTATTTACAAACGGACGACTCTGGCTGAGGCCTCAGTGCTGTCTCGAGACCGCAGGGCCTGACCGCCTCACTGGCATCTGTCTCCATGGGAGGGACCTTGGTGTTTGGAGGCCAGCCTGTCCTTGTCCCCTTAGGTGGAGCTCGGTCCCTGGTCCATCACTGTCCTCATGAGCACAGCTCACACGCTGGGACTTCCCTTTCTTGCTGCGGCCCTGTCCCTTCACGGCCACACCAGTGCCCCTTCCTCACGTCCCTGTCCTTCGGTCCCTCCGTTGTCCCTCCTGCCTCGCCGGTTGTGTCGCCTTCACCTGGGAAATCTGGGATGGTCAGCCTGCCCTCGGGGCTGCCCCGTGTCCTCCTGCTGCCGCAGGCTCCACCCGCCCCTTGTGGCACTGCTAGGACCCCCAGCGCCACTGGCCCGCCGCCCCTCTGCCTGCTCAGGTCCTCGTCCTTCACACTTTTGTCACGAGTCCCTCTGCAGACTGCTGCCCCCAGTGCCTCTGTCTTTTCTCTGACTTCGATTTCTGTGTGTGTTGCTGATGCCTTAACGCTTGTTGCGTCGCGTCTCCCTCTGGGGAGTGTCAGCTCCCAGAGGTGGGTCTCAGGCATATGTCCCCACAGCGCCCAATGTGCATGGTGGCTCCTGGTCGCCGGAGGCAGCCGGGCAGCTCAGCTCTGGAATGTTCTGTATGTACATGGTGATTCGGTCCTTTGGTGCGTTCCAGAACGAATCATTCAAACTTGGAATGTTTCCTTATTTTGTTTCAAAGGAAATGTCCTGTGTTGGAGCAGGACATCTTACAGAGACGGCTGTGTCATTTAGTCACACAGGGAGAAGTTTACTCTGACAAAGGTCACACTGTGAGTCCTCTGAGCTCTTTACTAGAAAATTACAACAGCTGAGTACGTTTTCTCCTTAACTTTCCCTGGGCTTCTAATAGGTGGAGGTGCAGGTGACTCCAGGTCAGGCTGACGGAAGGGGATGGTGACAGAACGCAGTGCATTCAGCCTTCCTCCTGGGTTTATATTTGGCTCTACTGTGCCAGCTGCCAGGAGACACTGGCGGGAGAAGAGGCTGCCTGCACGGGTTTGAGGGCCTGACCCGGGCGTCGCGCCCCCCAGAGCTCTCTGCGGGTGCGTTGCCAGCCCCGGCCTGGGGGGCCCTTCCCCTGCTGTGGGAGCTGACCACGTCAGTGGCTCTCACGTCCCCTCTGGGCAATGGGTGTAGGGGAAACACATTTTAAGAAATCACTTCAGAGATAAAAACAAAGTAAACAGATCAGGTAAGACTGTTAAGAAGGGATGCCTGACTGTGGTTTGCCCGTTTTAAGTAATTCTTGAGGGCACTGAGAGGTGGCTGTGTTACTTGGATCCGTGAGACTGTATCTGAGCATATGCTTCGAATAGGCTTTCTGTGTTACACGTAGAATACACAGAGGCGAGGTGCTCTGCCCGCCCTGCGCCTGCCTCCTGCGCCCCCTGCCCTGCCCCGTATGCCGTCCACCCTTCTGGGGATAGGTCCCTGCCTTCGGGAGGGACCTCAGAGGACACCTCCTGGTGACTCCAAACTGGCCACCACGAGCGTGGGAGCTGGACGCTGCACTCACTTGTCCTGTGTGGTGACTGTCCAGCCTCTCCATGGGCCTGAAGTGCCTTGTTTCTCATCATTGTTGTCACCAGTGAAGACAAGTCTGTTTTCCATGGTGCCGCCCTGAAATGCACTCCCGCCACGAGTCTGCTGGAACCGTGCTGCCTGGAAGGGAGGGTCGCAGGAGGGGCGTGTAGAGCAGTATGTGGGCTTCCTGGAGGCCTGCACAGTGTGTGCCTGTAACGTGTAAGAGCCGCGTCAGCTGGTCAGTCAACACGCAGCCCAGACATGGCCGGACTCACTGCCCGAGAGCCTGGTGCACAGCCTGAAAGCTGCTCAGAGGTGTGAGAACATCGGTGTGAGGCTTTTCTGAGACGGCTGCTGTGGTTCCTGATATCGCAGGGTTCCCAAGCAGCCCACCTGTCCTCTGTGCTGGGACAGCCCTTCGGAGGGTTTTCCTGGGGTGCAGACTGGATGGCTTATGGGAGTAGGACCCAGTGAGTGACTCCGAGTCGCTGCATGATGCCAGGCAGCCACCCCGGAGACTGTCCCTTTCTGCAAATGAGGGGGTTTGAGCTCAGCACCTTTAGTTCTTAAGTTGGGACTCTGATTTATCTTCTAACTGAAAATACACATGTAAAAAAAATATTGGGTATCATTTTGGAACAAATACATGACCTAGCAGTGTTGAAGTATATTTGCATCGTGTTTGCAAGATAAGGAGGATGGCATGACATCAGCACTCGTCTGGGCTTGCCCCACTGTGTGAACCTGGTGCAGGAGGACGCCACGTGACACTGTAGTGACGGCCAGGGGGCCGGAGAGGCGCAGCGTCCCTGCAGGACCAGCCTGCCGGCCTCCCTCTGGGGTAACGTGACGACCTGCTTTATCTGACACCCCTAACAGCCTTCCCCGGGTGACCATGGGACAGCAGCGCGAAGTCCGCTCACTCGGGAACGTTGAAGAGGGAAGTAGCCACAGGTCCGGTTTTGTTTCCTGGTTACATTTGGCCGGACACTTCTGGTCTGAACACGTGTTTGTGACATCACGGGGAGTTGATCCTGTGACTCGATCACATTAGTGGAGGTAATATTGGAAATTCACTTAAACTGGAAAGTAAGGAAAACTGGAGAGTAAGGAAAGGGTGTTATGGTGAGGAGGAATCAGTGCCTGGTCCCCTGTGACCGGGCACAGTTCTGAAGCCACTGCGTCCTGCGTCACGGTGCGCCCCTGAACCTGTCTCGCTGTGGGAGAAGCAGAGGACTTGGTCTGCATTTCCTCCACATCCAGCAGATAGAACCCTAATAACACAGAGTTACGAAAAGTCCTAACGAGACAGTTTAAAACATTAGTGAAGCATTGGCTTTCTTTTCTTGTTGATTTACAGAAAGCATATACCTATCAGAACTTAAAGCCTCGCACAACCCCAGCTGTATGATTGATGACACTCCTCACTTGTTTAAGGATGAGGTCAGAGTCGAAACAAAGCGTTTCCTTCTTTGCTGAATGCCAGTCGCAGGACGTGGATGCCTGGAGACGAGTGGTACCCAGGTGGCCTGGGGAGGAGGGGGCAGCAGGAGCGCCCCACATTCTTCTGTCCATGTTCTGGCTCCATCTCTGGTTGTCTGTCTGTATCCGAAATGCATATATATTCTGAAACCAGGTATGTAATAAAGATTGAAAGTGTTGAATGCCCGTTTTCTTTGTCAAAAAGGAAAATGGCACGTCTCGAAACTGCATACTTCCATCCCCATCAGTGATGCTGAGAGTGGTCCGTGGACCAGCAGCTCCAGCGCGACGTGGGGTTTGTTAGAAACACAGATTCGCGGGTCTAGAGCCAGGAGCTGGTCAGGCCCGCAGGTGTGCTTTACGAGCTCCAGGGGCGGTTCCGACGCTGGGGTTTCAGCACCGCTGACCCGTCACACTCAACCCAGGCGGTTCAGTTCTCCCACGTGATGAACAGGTGTCCCTCATCTTAGGACAAAAGAAGAATTCAGTGTAGATTTCAAAATGCTTTCCTGGTTAGCTCTTATAACCTGAACTTACAATATTGCGTTTTACTTACTGACTGGTTGTTTAGGTGGATTCAGGTATTCTCAGCTTCGTTAACACAAACTCGTCTAAGCTCCTCAGTGTATAAAAGCCATTTGATGACTGTGACTGTGTAATGTTATTATCACCTGGTGGGCGTGAAAAATAGGGACATGCTCAGACCTGGGCCTCCTGTCCCGAGTCCCGAGTTCATGGGACCCTTTGGTGGCTGGTTTCCAGGCCCCCCTGGCGATCTCAGGCTCTCGGTGGTGATTGGCCAGTGCAGCTGGTGGCGCCCAGAGCCGGCGGGGGGGGGGGGGACTGTGCTGGAGGGCGGCGCACCTGCTACATGTCGGGCCCTACAAATCGTACGTGAAGTTTTGTCCTTATTTGAAGCAAATTGTCTTTTGTGTGGTTAAAAACACCTGGTTTTCTGGTCGCTTACAGGTTCTGTTGGCTGGTTGTCTGGTCATAGATCATTTTGTTCCCTTCATCCCCCACCCCTTTTAGTTAGGAATCCTCCTTACCACCCCACATCCCCGGAGGGAATAACCAGGGCCCCACTCCAGGCACGCTGAGTGGAATTTGCATTTCCACAGAGTCCTATGAAATTTGTCTTCACAGGAAAGAGTCTGTAACATACAGTTTAAAATCGAGGTGAATTTCATTTTCTTGTTTGTTTTTCGTTTCTTAGCATCCATATTCTGAGTCTTAACGACTTTTATGAACTAAACCGTATCAATCTCGTTGAACCCACTCTCCAACCCAGTTTCGGGGAGTTGTAGAAACGGAAGGAGTCTTCCAGACCCTCTAATTTAATGTCTTCATCTGGCAGGTGAAGGAGGTTCGGTCAGAGGAATTCTTTGGCGTGGCCTAAATTAGGGAGGGATTTTGGGGACCCACAGATGCTGCGTGTCACACATTTTTATGTTTCCTTTCATTACGGGGACTTCACTCAAGGGCCATTTAAGATGATACTGTCTTCATAATTTAAACAGCCTGAAATGTGAGCTGCCTGCACAGACAGTGTCAGGTTACCCAAATATGACACATATCCAAACTCCACAATTTTAAATACATTGACACTCACTTTAATTATCTCTCTAACGTGATGTTGATCATACGTCACAAATACACTCATTTTCAAATTGGTGTATAATTTATGTAATTAAGCTAAGTGACAGTGGGCGCGTTGGGTGTGTAACATGAAACTGGACGGAAATGGAACGACACTGCCGTGTCCTTGCGCTGCGCATGTGTCCCCGCGGCGCAGGGACCTTGTAGCAGGACCGTACGCGTCCTCTGGGACTGCTGACTGCGGGTGCCCCGTCTCCAGCAGTGTGGGCGCCGCGCTCTTCTGAGTCCCCAGGACCACTGAGCTGCAAGTCGGGTCCTTCTGTGTCAGACCCACACTGGAGGGGTCCGTGCTGGACGCCTGGCCCTCAGCCGGGGCTGGAATTGCAGGTGTCCAGCTGCTCGGTACCCTGCACAGTGCGGCCTCTGCAGGGACCCTGGAGGCTGCCTGGATGCACCGCGGGGCGGGGGTCAGGGGGTGACCAACTGTGTTTTATGTAGTTGACATTAGGCACTGTCATCAAGCATCATGCGGGCATGTATTGTGCCCACAGTGCTGAGTGCAACATCTGCTGGGACCCCTGTACCCACTTTCCTGTTCCTGTCCCGTCCCCTCCTGATGACTTCTTGGGTGACATCTCACCTGGCCTCACCACAGACACCAGCCGTGTGGGGACATGCTGGGTGCTGCTCGCCTGTCCTGGGGGTGGGGGCAGCCTGTGACCCTGGCGCCGGTCAGCGTCCCTGTGCTGAGTGCAGTTTGCAGTGACATGGCTGATGGCTTGCTTCTGTCAGTGCATCGTGTAAGCACAGTTCTGCTTGTGTAGAGCTCCTAGAAACTCATGTCACCCTGGGGTCCCTCACAGTGGCACCTCGGTATAAATGGTGTAATACAAATCATATTTTCCATCAGCCCGTCAAACGGTTTTGCTTTTAGACAAAAAACCCACAATAATGAGAAAGCAAAAGTGACTGTTAGACGTGCCGAGTCACAGCTGACACGTGGCTTTGGGTAATTTATTCTGAGATTTGTGGAGGGGGCTGGCTTCCCCCTCAGGGCATGTTGCAGTTGTTTCTGCAGGAAACTGGGCACTTCCTCACCAGCCTCGTACGTTTCTTAACTGGTTCGAAACCATCCACGTACTGAGGTGGCCGACGGAGAACCCGAGGTACTGTGTTTGTTTTCTAACCGCCAGCAGCCAGCGCAGCTGAAGTGGCCAGACGACTGCCGGGCCCCCACTTCCCCCAGGTGGGGGAGCCTTGGCTCCTAGGAGGCCTTACTCGTCTAATGTTCTCGCCCCAGTCGAGGTTCCCCAGCTAACAGTGTGGGTTCAGGGTGCCCCGGCTCAGTAGCTTTCTTGCAAATAGACTGGTAATTAGCTGCAGACACAAGCTGCTGCCTGCATGTGAAACACACGCTTAGAACCGGGCCGCGGACCGCGTCTGGCAGCCAAGCCGAGCCCCTCAGTCTGCCCGGGCCGTACATGTCAGCCAGGCTTCCTTTCTGTGTCACCTGGTGGACGCAGGTGAACCATGGATGGGCTGAAGCTGTGGTGTCCTCAGCCGCCCCCTCCCGCCCTGTGCCCCTCTGCAGGTGGGCGCAGCGCTGTGTCCTTTGTGTGCACTCGAGGTGCCCGGGGTGCAGGAACGCAGGGCGTGCGCTCTCAGGGGCCCCTGCTGGCTGCTGCTGCGAGTTAGCCTGCCAGCTCAGAGCCACGGGAGGACCAGCGTGTCCGCTGTACCCTGGACTCCCACTTCCACACTTAAGTCCAGTGTCCTGAGTTCTGGGCAAACCCGGCGGGGGGCGGAGACACTGGAAACCCCAGTGGCTTCAGGCAGGCCGCAGGTCTGGGTGCTGAGCGCCGGGGCCTCGGTGTGTGTGCTGCCCCTTTCGGCCTCGTGCCGTGTCCAGGTGTTAATCACTAGCATGTCCACAGGGCAGCCAGTGGGAGGGAGGCTGAGAAGTGAGGCCTCTGGCACGGACGAGCGTGCACACGCCGCCTCTGCAGCGTCCTGTGCCCACGGACACGTGTGCGGCCAGGAGTGGCTTGGCAGAGGCTGGTCGCTTTGGCTGTGAGCAAGCTGAGTGAAGGGTGCCATTGCCAGAAGGGGGTACATGCCGTGCCCACGTGTGCCATCTGGCCAGTCCCAGGTGCTGTCCATCCCCGTGCTGCGTGGTGTCACGCTGACCCTCTCGTGACTTGGCCGTGTACCACAGGGCTGTGGGTGCTGTTTCCTGAACTGAGTGCAGGCACAGGCATCATTTGTAAGACAGAGGAGAAGGGGTGGCTGGTGCGAAACGAAACCCACGGAGTCCATGAAGTTTGGGTTTTGTTCAGCTCCCTGGCCGTGGAGTGGCTGGCGCCAGGGCGCAGAGGCCCCTGAAAGGCCTGGGGGGCGGTCAGTGGTGTCCCCTGTTAGAGAGAGGCCCCGTCACATGAGTTCTGGGAAGAGGGCATGTGTGGGCACTTACGGCAGTTTGGGGGCAGTGGTGGTGGCCTCGGGCAGGCTGGCATCACCTGGGGAGTGAGTGAGGCCCGGCAAACAGAGAGTGATGTTGCGAAGGCTTCAGGGCCGTGGACCCTGAATGAGTGTGAATGTCACCGCTTCTGGAAGAAAACATCAAAAATCTGGAAAACGTGAATAGGGAAAGAAAACAAGTCACTTGCCTTGACAGCACACGCTGACAAGTGACAACAGTCGGACTTGTCTCCTAGTCATTGATGCCCACACGTACGTGCATCGTGTGTGCGGTTCGTGTCTCGCTTTCCCAGCGTTTTCTCACAGCGTGGTTTCGGTGGCCCCGCATGTTGTGTTGTGAGACGCTGTCGGTTCCTCTGCCCTCTGCTGCCGGGGTCAGTGTTTCCGGAATGTCCACCGGTGGACGAGGCTGCAGTGACCGCCTCTGTGCGGCCCTGTCGGTGGTTCTGATTTACGCACTTTCAGAGCGCTTTCCGGACCAGTGTCCAGTCGTGCCACCTGCCAAAGACAGTGCCGCACCTCGGCGTGGCCTGAGGCTTTCGTTGAAAACGCCCCTGCCAGTTTGACAGAAGAAAACCTTCCTTTGCCCCTTGGTTCAGCCACTTCTTCTCAGGCTCTGTACTGGCCGGGGGACATGCTGGGCCTCAGGGCTCCGTGGCTTGAGGGGGTGGAGAGGAATCTGCCCGCCTGGAACCTGCAGAAAAACAGCCAGTCTGTGAGCCTCAGAGGGAACGCGGAGCCCTGAGCGGCCTGGCGGCGGGGACAAGGACAAGCAGGCAGCGTGGAGAGCGCGCAGGGAGCCTGTCCCGGGCGAGACCTAGCGCGGGGAGGGAGTGCAGTGAGGCCGGATGCTCAGGTGCAGGCCTGGGGCCCTGTGGGCCGTTTTGTCGGGCGCCGTCATGGTGTCTCAGTGAGCGCGGCCTCAGCTTTCTACTTGGCAGAAGCGGTCCCGACTCCAGAGCTAGCCCTGCGGCGACGACACGCTCCTGGTGATGGTTTGGGTGTGAGGTGGAGACCCGGGGACGGAGAGTGGTGTCACACACGACTGAAAACGTCCAGAATCTTCTGTTGTGCAGTAAATGGTCCAGCATGTGTCTAGCGGAAGCCTTCCCCCATTCCTCCTGGCTTGAATGCTTTATCCCCGTCCGGTCCTTAAGACAGGTCTTCATCAGCCCTGCAGAAACGTACTGTTAGTTGCTTTCTAAAAATTATTTTTTTCTCCATTTTATTTTCTCTTTTCCAGTCAAATGTCGGTGCATTGATCACTCATGTCTGCTAACTTTTCTCTCCTATTTTCTATATTTTTGTAGAGATTTCCTCCCCTTTTTTTTGACAATCATTTAGAAAGTTCAATTATATCTTACTTTTGCTCTTTTTCAGAAGAGAGTTTTGTTGATTTTTGGTTTTTTGTTTCATGGTTATATCTTCCCAAAGACACGGATTTGAACTTGTTAAACTCTTATTTCCTTAGTTACCTCCTACTTGGGTCTGTCTGGGGGTTTGTGGGTGCGGCCTGTGCAACAACTCGGCTGTGCCGCCCCCATGCCCACATTGGTGGCTGTACCCCAGTCATCTGTTCTGACCCCTCCACAGGCGGGTCTCCCACTCTGGGTAACTGACCTGCATTGTCGTTTCTGGGGTCAATGCAGCCGCCCCCCGGTGGGTGAAGCGGGGACCGCGGGCCCTCAGAGCGCTCAGCCCTGTCCCAGCCCAGTGCTCCTTTGCCCAGGCCGTGACTGTCACCTTCACGGTCCCCTCAACAAGCTCTTCTCGGCATTTGTTTTCTAGAGATGTGTCAGAAACGCCTCCCGTGGCGACAGAGCCCTGCCCCTCCCTCCTCGTGCCCATCCTGACATGTTTCTTGCCTCCTCTGCTCTGTGCTGTCCCCTCGATGGAGCTTTGGGATCAAAGGCGGGGCCTGGTGCTGGGTGGGCCGTCCTGCCCGGAACCCGCTCCGGATGTTGCATTCCCAGTAGTATTTCACAATTATTGGTCAAGTCTAATAATATTCATAATAGTGATCTTTGCTTTTTTTCAGAATTCTCTTCTGAGATCACTTAAAGCACATCACTGTTAATGGCTTTATATTTTTATAAAACCTGGTTTATTTGGGGAACGTCTAAGGTAAAAAATTTCGTGATTTTTGTTTCGTAAATACAGAGCCAGTTTACACTGTGAGATGCTGTCCCTTCCTCATCCCATATTATGTCCATGTTTGTGTGAGGACTTCCTACAGGCCACCGAGTGTGACCCATTTGTTTCAACTAAGATTCTTGGGCCAGTCCTGGGTGTTTTAATTACCTTTAAAATGTGTTTAAGATTTCCTTGCTGTCGCCAGTCATTGCTGCTGCTTTTTCAGAAATGTGCCCCCCTTTCTTCCTGCATCCTGTTATGGACAGGGGGCCGCTTGGCCAGATTCCAAACACAGTAGAACTAACTATCGGGAGCGGTCTGAGCGGACTGTCCAGCATGCACCTAACTCAGGAAGGAGGGCCGCTGGGAATGTCGGCTCCCATGGAAATACTGCGGTGCTTCTGCACGTTTGGTGCTATCCACAGGCGTTGTCTTCAGGGGCAGGCTTGCTATGCTGAGAGCAGTCATCATATACACTTTCAGTCCTTTTCAGAGGCGTTTTGTGTACTTGATTGCTATTGTGAATGCAATCTCTTTCATCACATAGTATTTCAAAATCATTTATCACTTTTATTACAAGAAGAGTAACACATGTCCACTGTAAAAAGAGCAAGTTGAAAATCCGCGTGCTCACACCGCCCAGAACAGCCGCTGCTGTTCTGGGTGCGTGGCGGTTCTGTGTGTGCACATTCCTTTTACGCGGCGACACGTGCCGTGTCACATCTAGTAACCTGAGTCCCAGTCGCTATGAAGTCCTGAATGTCTTCCCATGCGCTAAGTGTTTTCTTCTTACAGGATGACTTTAGTGCCTGTGTTGTGTGGATGGATGACACAGTGTTTGACCAAATCCAGTGCTGGGACCTGAACCTGTCCCCAAAGGGCTGCAGTTGGGGACAGCCAACTGCTGCCCTAAGCAGTGACTTCGGGAAAGTGCTTGTGGGAGCGAAGTGTCATTCTGTACATTGTTTGTCCAGGATGTCATTTTTCGTTTCATTCTGTTTGTAGTGCATGCGATGCATCCACATTCTTCTTTACAGTCTGGTTACTCCATTCATTTAAGTTTATTTTCAAATTTTCTCTTAAATTAATAAATTTTATTTTTTAGAGCAGTTTTAGGTTCCTGACAAAATTGAGAGATGGGTACAGAAATGTCCCACATCCCCTCATCCCCCCTCAACACATGCACAGCCTCCCCCACTGCCAGTGTCCCCACAGATGGGACATAAGTTACAACTGATGAACCTACACAGACACGTCATCGTCACCCAGAGTCCACAGTTGACATTAGGGTCCCCCTTGGTGGTGTGCATTCTGTGTGGGTGTGGACACATGTAATGACGTGTGTTCACTATCACAGTGTCACACAGTGTTTTCACTGCCCTAAAACCCATGGTGATCCCCCGTTCATCCCTCCCTCCCCCTAAATTGTGGCAACCACGGACCGTCACTGTCCCATAGTTTTCCAGAATGTCATACGGTTGGGATCACATGGCATGTGGCCTTTTCGGATGGGCTCCTTCACTTAGTGACAAGCATTTAAGGCTCCTCTACGTCCTTTCATGGCTGGCAGCTCACTCTTTTTAGTGCAGAATAATATTCCACTGTCTGGATGGACCACAGTTTTTATCTGTCACCCCCTGAAGGACATCTTGGTGGCTTCCAAGTTTGGCAGTTACGAACAAAGCTGCTGCCAACGTCCGTGTGCAGGTTTTGTGTGGACATAAGGTATTGGCTCCTTTGGGTGAGCACCAAGGCTTGTGATCGCTGGGTCGTCTGGGGAGAGATGTTTTGTAGGAATCTCCAGTGCCTTCCACTGTGGCTGCGCCGTCTGCCCTCCCCCCAGTGACCGAGGTTCCCGCTGCCCCACGTCCTCCCAGCACGTGCTGTCTCCTGCCCTGGACTTCAGCAGCTCTGACGGGTGCGTGGTGGTGTCTCGTGGTTGGTTTAACTTGCATTTCCCTGGTGACCTGGAGTGGGGCATCTTTTCATGCGCTTATTTGCCATCTGTGTGTCTTCTTAGGTGACGTGTCAGGTCAGGTTTTGGCCCATTTTAAATTCAGATTGTTTTCTTGTTGTTGAGTTAAGGGTTTATTGTGTATCGTGGAAAACAGTCCTTTATCAGCTGTGTTGTTTGTAAATATTTTCTCCCTGTCTGTGGGGTGCCATCTCATTCTCTTGATGTGACCTTTCTCAGAGCAGGTTCTCATGTCAGTGAAGTCCAGCTATCAGGAGACACACACGGACAGGTGTGGGTCGGCCACACCTCGGTGTCAGGGCCATGTTGCTGCCCTCTCAGCCGGCACAGTGAGGTCGGCGTCTTTCAGGGTTGGTTTCGCGGGGGGACAGGATGACACACCGTGCACATGGTGCTTGTGGGTGGCCAATACTTTTTTGTGAGCACAGATGAAGATCTGGTAGACATTTTTAGAGGACATTTTGCCACGTGAATATTGGTGTTTGTACACAGTTGCTTTTAGAATCTATGCACAGAATCGGTGACTCCTTTTCACCTTATTCTAGCCCAGTAGCCACCAGGGGTGCGTGGCTGATACACAGCATGTAAGTGTCATTTCCTCAGTCACACCAGGCACACCAGCTGCCACGAGCCGCACATGGTCAGAGCCTCCCTTCCCGGACCCAGGGTTCTGGCCATTTCGTCATCACAGAAAGTCCTGTCAGACCGTGGTCTTCTGGGACACAAGGGGCTTCATAAAAAAAAAAGTGATTTTTTTTTTACCTTGTAGTAATTACTGAAATAAAATATGAAATAAGAAAGGGAAGTATGAAATAAGACACATAAAGGACTTGCTTCCCACTGTTGTTTTCAGTTTTGTCTTTTAGTTGTTTGGGACATAGAGTAAGAGTTTTAGCAGTGACTGAATGAACTCAATGCCCCCGTCTGCTCAGCTCAACGCACACCCAATGGGGACAGCCATTGGCCACCACGGCCCTCATCCAGTGTGTCTTCTGGAACACCACAGGAGGTGACACGCAGTGCCAGTCACGCAGGGGCAGCACTGCTGGAATGACTTTCTGTGCAAACCTCACTCCTGGAACCCGTAACCTGTCTGTTTAAAATCCCCAATTTTTTCTCCCTTGGTATTGGACAAAGGCGACCTTGAGAGCCATGGGGGCGGCTGTGCTGTGGGGTGAAGGCCTGGGAAGTCCCCTCCGAGACGGGCACTGCGTGCCACCTGCCACTGGCCCTGGACTCAGAGCATAAACTTACCTCATTGCTGTAGAAACAGGGTTTTCTCCAAGTTCATTTTTTAAAGCCCTCATATTAATTCAAGCGACATTTAACGTAGGTTTTTATGTATTTATAATGTGAATTACTTCTGTCTGCTTGTAATGGTACAGTGTCAATTCAACTAGAAATAGTTTGAAAATTTGCTTGAAGTAAGAGTGGAAAAACGCACCTGGAAATGTGTGTTTTTTAGTTACATGTATCATTTACCTGCTATTGATTCCTTTTTTTCTTTTTCTTTTTCCTTTTAGGTCGCTTGCAGTGTTTGAATGTTGAGAAGGTACAGTCATTAAAACTGCACTTTTAAATGGTGGGAGTTTGTACAAATGGGATGGTTACTATGGGATAGTGAGTAAAAGTAGATATTGATTGGGTGATGTGCTTATAAATCTGTTTTGAGTTGGTCCTGGAAGTGAAAGTGTCCAGTTTGCGTGGGCCATTATTTTTCAGGTCTTCTCTCTATTATGTAAAATTAGCTTACGTGATGTTAGGGAGTGGGGGGCAGTTTGCACCTGTGCGGCCCCCACAGGTTGGGTACTTCTTATAAAAATGAGCGTATATCACCTGCTAACGTGGGGGTTGGAGGGTGGCAGCCGTCAGGTGTGCACCTGTCCCCACTCGCCACCTGCACCTGAGCTGTGGGTCAAACCGGGAGGTGGGTGTGGGGCGTACTCACTCATCAGCCACTTCTTCCACAAGCGTTTCCTGAGATCGGTTCCCCTTTTGAAGGTTTCTGTTAAAAGTCTCCCTTAGAAAATGCCTTGAAATGAGCAGCAAATTGGTGTAAATGACAAGAGGCTGCCAGGGGACTTAGTGGCATTTGGAGAAGGGCAAATACACATTAAAGATCGTTTTCCCTGTGGGAAACGACTCTTCTGTGGAAGTCCCACTGCAGAATTATTCTCTGAAACGGCCTTTCTTCGGTCCTAATTGGACGGGCTGCAGCTGGGATGAAAACGTTTAGATGAGATACATGCCATGTGCCTGGAAACCCGGCCACTCGCTCCGCTTCCCGGGACTAACTTTCAGGCGCAGAGCAAAGAGGAGCAGGTGTGCGTGGGTGTCACAGCTGCCACTCCGAGAGGCGCTGTCCCGGTCGCGCAGGGCAGGGGCGCCGCAGGCCGACCCGGCTGGAAGCGCGCAGCGTGGGGGCGGCCCGTGGGGGGCCGTGGGGGCGGGGCGCGCGCTGTAACGCTGTCCCCTGTCGCCGCAGCCATGCCGTCCTGCGCGCCGTTCCTCGTGCTGCTGTGCGGCGCCCTGGGCGCGGCCCGGGCCGCCCGCATCGTCATCGTGCCACCCATCATGTTTGAGAGCCACGTGTACATCTTCAAGACGCTGGCGGCGGCGCTGCACCAGCGGGGCCACCGGCCGGTGCTGCTGCTGTCGGAGGGCCGCGAGCTGGCGCCGTCGCCGCACTACCGCCTGCAGCGCTACCCCGGCGTCTTCAACGGCTCGGCGGCCGACGCCTTCCTGCAGGACAAGATGCGCAGCATCTTCTCGGGGGCGCTGACGGCCATCGAGCTGTTCGACATCCTGGACCACTACGTGCGGAACTGCGACCTGGTGCTGGGCAACCGCGGCCTGGTGCGCGCCCTGCGCCGGCAGCGCTTCGACCTGCTGCTCGTGGACCCGAACGACATGTGCGGCTTCGTGCTGGCGCACCTGCTGCGCGTGCAGTACGCCGTGTTCTCCACCGGCCTGTGGTACCCCGCCGAGGTGGGCGCGCCCGCGCCGCTCGCCTACGTGCCCGAGTTCAACTCGCTGCTCACGGACCGCATGGGGCTGCTGCAGCGCGTCAAGAACGCGGGCGTGCACCTGGTGTCGCGGCTGGGCGTCAGCCTGCTGGTTCTGCCCAAGTACGACCGGCTGCTGCGCAAGCACGGCCTGCGGCCCGCCACGTCCATGCACGAGCTGGTGCGCGGCCCCAGCCTCTGGATGCTGTGCACCGACGTGGCGCTCGAGTTCCCGCGGCCCAGCCTGCCCAACGTGGTGTACGTGGGCGGCATCCTGACCCGGCCCGCCAGCCCGCTGCCCCAGGTAAGGCGCGTCCAGGACCGGGACCTGTGGGGGGGGGGCGCGGGGGGCGGGCAGCTGAGGCTTGCAGCAGAAGTGGCTGTGCTGTGTGGTAAGTGCCACGAAAGGCGGGCGGTGGGGAGTCCTTGTGCGGGTGGGGGGGGGCCAGGGCCCTGCTCTGAGCATGTCCGTAGTACCGAGGGGCTGCTCAGCTTGTGGTCAGGGGATGGCTGGGGAGTCGGCTTGTGATTAAGTCGGAGCTGTGGCAGGTGAACAGAGGCAGCTAGAGGGTCAACGTGGCTCGTGGAAGGGACGCCCGGGGTGAAACCCAGCCCCTTTGCCCCACCCTGAAAGCATGGCCACAGGCCTCTGCCCAGCGTCGCTGCCATGAATCAGCGGGCACAGCCCACCTGAACGGGTTCCCTTGGCACCATACCCCTGGAAAGTGGATGTCCAGCAGTGAAACGGGGTAATGACTCCCAAACTAGGGGACACCTGATCTTAATTCAGTGGCAAATGTGACGGTTTGGAGAGCCCCATTTGTAGGACTGAATGAAAACCCTGTCTCCCCTCTGGGTCACACCATGTCCTTTCTGCAGGTGGGGCTGCCGGTGAGTCCCAGCTTGTGTCCAGGCCTCACACCAGCAGGTAGCTCTCTGGGTCTGGGGTCGGCCTCTGATGGCACTCCTGGGGGCACAGGCCTCGGTGCCCTTTCCTGAGGCTGCCTCTGCTCTCGCCTCAGCGTGCAGTGCCTCCCTCACTTGGTTGACTCTGGCTGTCACTGCATGGTGACGGACCTGCCGGAGGAGCACGCCCACATTCCCCCACCAAGGCCTCAGGTGATCACGGTCACTGGGCAGAAGTTCCTCAGACTCTTCTAACACACCTGCGGAACGCCGTTTCAGGAATGCTACCCGCGTGCAGTCTGTGTGTTGTGGACACGTGGGGCCGGCGGCTCTGCGGCTTGTCACCTGAGCCCTTGTGCCCCCAGGCATGCTTCCCGTGTGGGTCCCTCTGCCCATCGCTTTCACCGCAGTGTTCCTTTAACGTGCCTGTGGAAGGCAGTGCGGCGTTCCTGTTCTGAGGTCATTTCCGTCTCTAACTGCCATGTGGGCTTCCCTGTTCTTCCCCAGGGCTTTCTGTAAGGACTCATTTGAAGGTGTCTTTTATTTGCTGACTGTCAACCGTGCCAGTTGTCCCCAGGCAGACACAGCGATGCTCGCGGATGTGCTGTGTCGACTGGCCAGCCTGCTCTTGGCCCGCGTGTGAGAGGTGAGACGGGCCACTCTCACTTCTGTGTGCCGTTCACGTCCTTCCCAACACTCACCTCAGTGTGTCTCGCTCCGGTGAGGTTTGTACGCTTAGGGACACACTCGTTCCTGTTGGGGTTTCTCTAGCAGATCCGTCCAATGTGAGGGCCCTGGGAGTTCATGGGTTTCTCAGGCTTATTTGCGGCCTCAGTGTGACACACATCCGAGAGCCCGGTGAGTGGCCTGGAACTCGTGTCTCCCAGAGCAGCTCCGTGTCAGTTGCCTCGGCAACTGGCAGGGGTGGGTGGGGTTTCCAGGGCTGGACATGACTGGACACTGGATTGCATTTCATAGCCTGGGACGAAAGGGCCCAGAAACTTCCTAAAAGACTCATTTTTGAAGTTTTCGGAGCCTGAGGAAACCCTGAAGAGCCTCCAGTTCAGCTCCTTCCTTTTATTTATTTTTCCCTCAAAATGGAGAGAATGGCACACTCGTTGTCACATAGGCTGTTTGAGTCTGAGCGGCCCCTCCAAGGCCGCACATGCTGTTGGGCAGAGCTGGGCGACACATGAACAGCTTTGCTGTTGGTAGAGAATACCGTTCCTCTGATCGTTCCTTGAGGTCTCAGAGATCCTGAGGCCTTAACATGACAGTCACAGTCAGCTAGTGGGACCTGACGTATGCTTTAGTGCGTGGGTCGTAGGAATCAGCCGGAACGCATGCTTTTGGTGACCTCATGTGAGCTGGTTGTAGAGTGAAGCAGTTCCAGGGTCAAGGATCGCTTTGTATGCACTTGAGCAACGTGCCTGCCACAGGGCTGCCTTCCTGGGCGTCGGTGCAGGTGTGACCAAGAGCCGACGCATGGCCAGGCCACATCTGTGCAGTGGCTTGTCTCCTCTGTCAGAGCTGGGGACATGGGGACACATTAGAAACAGGTTCGCTTTGGCCAGGAAGGCGTACAAGCAGCCCCTGTTTGACCCGGCTTGTCAATGTGAAGGCAATAATGACACCTATTAGGACATGATGGCAGCTTTTCTGAGGGTGGGGACAGTAATGCCACCAAGCGTCCCACAAGTATGCTGGGCACCTGTCGGTTATTAGAATCGACATGTCTCCGTGATGGCTTCTACGTAGCTGCCCGTCAGCTGATGTGGCCTGGCCCTGCCCGGCTGTGACCGTGGCCACGTTTGCTCCCTGCAGCCCTGATCTGCGGCATTTCAGTCGGTGCCCCCCCCCCGCCCCCCGAGCAGAGTGCGGGTGCGTGCATCACCTCATAGCATGGCTGTCGTCCTCACCCGAGGCCCTGGGGACGGCGGGTCCTCAGATGATCAGTATTAAGTCAACTGCATGGAACACAAGCAGGTGTCCAGAAATAGGCGACTCGGCCAGTACAGCCGCGCAGTAAACATTACAGCCGTGCCTGTTTACTCCCGGTTTGTGTCGCATACCATTCCAGCCATTAAGCAGCCGGGCATCCAGGCTGTTGGTTCAGTGAACAGAATAGCTACCTAGTGTCGCTGAGGTGAAGAAAGCAGGTCACCGTCTGATTCCCAGTGGGGGACTAACGGGTGCCCCTGTGTTCCATGTGTTTGCCTGAGCAGCATTAGTGTGCGCGGGGATGTGGGTTTCTAGGGCGAGAAGAGCTGGGACCGCCTGCGCACCTGGAGGCGTCGCCCGCAGGCCCGGTCCTGAGCAGAGCGTCCACGTGCAGCCAGCTTGTCAGGCCCGGGCCGCGTGCCAGGGCCCTCTGCTCCTCTCTCCAGCTCTCCTCGCCTTTTTTTTCTACATTCTAAAAATGTTTTATCTCAGGTGACTAGGCTGCATTGGATCACAGCAGGCCATGATTTAAAGTCTTGTTACATAAATGCCTACTTTCTAAAGTTCTAAGTTCCGTGCTGAGGTTATTTGTCCTCACCTGCAGTCTGATGCAATCTAGCAGCGAGTGGCATGTCCTACACTGCATAGCATTCTGAAAACCCTGCGGCCCAGTAACATTCGATAAATACAAAAGGACGAGGAAGGGCTTCTATTTCAGTGTCCAGTCCTTACAGTGACTGGCTAACTCAGGAAACGTCTTTGTGCTGTGAGAACCGGTTTATTTTTCTGCGCTGAAGGCATCTCCCTCATACGTTTGCAAACCCAGGACGTGCAGGCCTGGTTCTGGTCTGCCCCATGTCCACCTGAGGCGGAGCTGCTATGTGACAGTGTTTTTGAGGCAGAACACAGGACAGCCAGCCAGAGAAGTAGACATTGGAGGAAGCTTGTTAATCCGGAATGTATCTTAATTCCGTCTGAAATCAGAGAGGCGCAGAAAAGCGCCCCCAGTCCCCCAGCCCAGCGCAGGGCAAGGACCGGGCACCGGATGAGAATGACCAGGCTGTGCCGGCCATCGGCCTGCTGCTTGTGCAGGAGGCTGTTCCTGGAGCCTTGGCAGTGTCAGGACCGCGGGGCCCCAGTGGGGCCGCAGGGGAGCGGCTAGCACCCCCTTCAGGGGCGGCTCAGGCACATTTTCATGGAGCAGCATGTGCTGCAGTGAGGCAGTCTCCTCTGGTGGGAGGTCTGGGAATCCGGACTGGATCACTAAACACTGTCAGGCCTTAACGGAGCATCTGTTGTAGGAAGAGGCAGGGAACAGAGACGGGCAGAGAGAGAGACAGGGTAACAGGGTGGGGGTGCTGGGGGAGGCACGGCCCTTCCCCTACAAAGCTTGTCTCTGCAGGTGAGAAGGGTGCCTGCTAAGTGGTCATTTACTTAGAGTCTCACCGGTGGCTTTTTGCCGTGTTGTAAACGCTGGGTCGGCGGGAGGGAGAGTGCTAATGCCACTGAGGAGGTTATCTATTTTTTCTCCGTTTGCTTCTGTGTTTTTCTACATGTGTGATTGAGTAAAAGCAAACTCACCAAAGTAAGCTGACCTACTCCACAGGTCTGACTGCCGTGGCTACTTACTCACGGTCTGCGGGGCAGCCTCACACCCAGGTAGGACTGGAGGAGGCCCTTTCCAAGCAGCTGAAACAGTTTAGTTTGCAGAGACCTGGGGAGAGCGTGGGGTGCTGCACCAGGCCGACCACAGGGCACAGTGCAGGCAGCCCCACCGCCGCCCCACTGGCCTCAGTGCTCACACTGGGAATAGTACAGGTTCAAGTGGATTAAAGCCAGCGCACATGCCTGGCTTATTTTGTAAATTGGGGTGGAGCTGTCTTTACCCCACAGGCGCCCACAGCCGTCATCAGTGAAACACGGTGGGGTGGCCTGATGAGCCCCGTGCCCGCCGGGCTGGCCCGGCCCCCGGCTCTCTTTCCTGGTGTTCCTTCCGCACTGTCAGGTCCAGAGAGCTTGTGACATTGCAGAGACGGCCCCCCTCGGAGGCATGGTGGCTGCCTGTCTCGTCACACGTGCTCGGTGCATGTCAGTGGCGTGTCTGTGGGGCTCGGTGCAGCCGGGGTTCCTGTGTTTGTGACAGACTTGGAGCCGTGGTGGTGGAGAGGCGGGAGGTACCGCGGGCCAGGACCCCCGGGAAGGACCCCGTCGCGGGGACCACAGCCCAGGCCAGGTGGGCTGGCGGTCATGTCCCCAGAGGCCTTAGACACTAGGATTTGGGTCAGGAGCTCAAATGTGACTGCTTTCGTTTTTAGAAGCGTTCACTCTGGTTGCTTTGTGGGGGTGCGTGCTGCTAGGACTCGGGAGGAGGTGGCTGGTGGGGGAAGGTGGGGACAGGCTTCCTGTGGGACCTGTGGTGGCATTTCCTTCATGGGAAAGACTGAGGGGTGACCGGGT